TCTGAAGCTAGAAAATGATTGAAAACAAGCATGTCGAGGAAGAATAATTTTTAAGCCTATTAAAAGCCAGAATGAAAGAAAAAGCATCAACAACTTTTTTATCAGAAACTTGACACGCAAAAAGAAAACACTTTTCTACGCGTGCAGAGTAAATATAAAAATATATCTAGATTTGTCTGCATAATTTTTAAGTTTAATGCGTGTGATAATGTTTATTCATTTTAAGTTTTAAAATAGACAGATCCTGGAAGATCTTTACAATATGATCAGATTTTAAGGAATATGGTGGACAATGGACATACATAATAAAATTTACCAGCATTTCATATTTTTTCATATTTTTATTCAACTACAAAGCACGAGATAATACAAATAAAAAAATCACAATTTACTATATAGTTTGGACCCGCCTAACCAGAGTAGGTTGTTTTAATTGGTTGGCCCACTATAAACGAATGAGAATTGCAAATAAAAATAATGTACATTGTACCATAAAACCATAATGTCCTTAACAGGGGGAGATTAAGTTTCTTAACGTTTCTTGGGACAATTTAGTAAAATTTTCATGAAAAAATCGCAAATTTTCATTTCAGGAGACGATAATTGTTTACAACTATACCATACATTTTACATCATAGATTTTTCACCAAAAATTTTACACCATGCATTTCAAATCATTCATTTAAAACCATAAATAGTACATCTACATTTTCCAACATACATTTTCCAACATACATTTTACAACATACATTTTGCATCATATAGTTTAAACATCACAGTTTGCACTCTATATATACATTTTACGCAAAACTATTTACAACAAAAAGGTTTACACGTACACAATACGTTTACTATCATATTTTTTACATGTAAAATATAAAGTGTAAATGTAAAGTGTATACACAAAGATTTGCACCTTTAATGTACACAAAACATTTTACACATAAAAGTTTACACAAATACATGTACAATGTAAATTGTACACTACCGGTACACTTACTTTGTTTGTTTGTTTTGAATGGTTGATTGTTCTTAAAGTCTACGAAAATGGTTAACTTTGCAAGATAAAAATATCTCCCGATACAATTAGTATTAAAGAAAATAATTAAAAAATGGCAATTATTGTCATGGTCAAATACCTCATTAGTCATTTATATTATAACATTCCATATTGTTTCTATCATTAACTTTTTTCTCGAAAAGAGAAGCGTTCATAAAATTCAAATATTTCAATTTGTTTAATTAAATGTGCGCCCAATTCCTCAAGAAAAAAAACGCATCGCTGCAGGAAAAATTACACAAAAAAATTATAATTTATAGTGAAAATCTCTGCTTAAAGTTTTCTTCCATGGGCATTAAAAGTTTAAGTATCTCATATTAAAAATGACTTTCCCTTTTAATCCCATTTTAATAAATGTTTGATAAAGGAAGTAATTGATGTAAATAATACGAATATTTAAAAATCAAAAATTATTTGTACACAGGGTGTCCCAATAGATATGGGAATTCAGTGACGATTTTGATATTGATATTGTACTTAATAATATAAGAAATTCGTCTATACAAACACAGTTGTTTCTCTTCACTGTTTAACTTGCAGAAATGTTTCAGAACATCATAACGTTTTGTAGAATACAAAAATAGTCTTTTACCGTTTACATAAAATATACTCTAGCAGACGTTACTTTATTTTGACCATTTTAAATCAGTTAACACACCGCAAATTCTTTACAAAGACGATTTCGAATTCGTCTTTTAATTCCCATGTTGATTGGTACACCCTGTATGTTAGTGTCCGATCAAGATTAACGCGTATGATTCATCATATAGCTACTTCTCTCATTAACAGAAAAAGATATTTTCACAACTTTTAACCCTATCCCGACTGGGCTATTTTTGTCTAATTAGTAGCGTCATAGAATTAAATATTTTGACTAAAATGGTGTTGCAGGAGGGCCAGATATAAAAAAGGCGTCATAGAATTATTTTGACTGAATAGTGTTTTATTTAGTCTGAACTAACTCTGAAAAGAGAGTAATTGATGGTTTATTTTTACATTTTTCGTGAAAGTAGATTCATTAGACTTAATAAATACTTTGTAATATAAAAATAAAACAAGATTTTAATACGTACAGTCCACAGGGTGTCTTACCGCTTGCATTTTTGGATCTTTAAAACATCTAATTTTGTTTAGCATGAAATATAAAAACTTGAATAAATTTTGTGCGTAATTAATTTTGCGTCAACAATTTAATATGAGGTGCAGTGCAGGGTAAGATATTAAATAGTCCAATCATGGATCCAGGGTTACCCGCAAAGGTTGAAACTATAAAGACGACTTGAAACTTTTAAAATTATGACGATCCTAAGGTTGAATTAAGTCTGAAGCCTAGAATGTTTTTCTTTTTGATTTTATGAACTATTCAATGATTTGGCTCACAAAGCAATAAGTTTACGGTAAAAATTAACAGTATAAATTCCGTACAGTCTTCTCTGAAGTTTGATACTTTGTGGGTGATAGAACGCGAAAAACCTGAATTGAATATAAAGCAAACCGATTATAGGTCCAATTTCCAATCGGAATTACGCGCAACTGTTCTCGAATTGCGCAGAATAATTACAGAGCTCGCAATTGCGCGCAAGTAAAATCCACTTGCGTTGGAAACCGTATGAGTGACATAAAAGTAAGGATTAAATTACTATAACTTATTTAAGGGCGATAAGAAGTATAGTTTCAATGCCTATAGTATTTATTTTACTAACATAACATATATATAGTATGTATATAACGTGAAACCCTTAATAAAGAATACATCGAAAGAATTCATCAAATGTCTTATTCTTCACTTGCTCATAAAGGAATGTTGCAGATATTTAGTTTTTTAATTACATGATTATATGGAACTCTTTAAAAACTGTTCCCGCATATTCATGGCTATTTATTTATTTTCGCAAATACTGAAATTTACGTAATATAGTATAACACTCACTGAAAAATTGTTAAGACGACATTTGATAAATTCTTTCGATGTATTCATTATTAAGGGTTTCACTGTAGAATTAATAACATTTTTTGGATGACCCCTGGGAAAGGTTCATAGTCAAGATTGAAAAAAAAACTTGCCATGCTAAATTAGATTTTTAAAATGTTAGAAAAACTACTTAAGAATGTTAATAAAATCGAAATCATCAATTTTAAATTAATTTACTATTAGACCAATTAAACTCTGAAATAGGAAGACGACTTTTACGACATTCATTAATTTAGTCTACACAGTGTGCTTGAAGGACCTTAAGAGATAAGAAAATCCCATGTAACTTCTTTTGAGATTATGACAGAGCTCATTAAGACGAACATTTTGCAATTTGTCGGCACTTTTTACCACAATGAATTTTCCCGCAATTAGCATATTGGCAAAGTAATGATTTATTTATTTAATTTTCAGGTATATTTACATATAAACTTACTTTGAACAGTTTGAAAAAAGTACCCTTATTTCCCCTATTTAGATGTAAAATGTACTTGAGGATACTCTGCTTTAGCTGAGGATATAATTCGAGCTTTTTTTTACTCTGTACTGAAGACCTTTCCTCTTATCCTTTACCCTGAACCTTTCCATTCCCTTTAATATTAAACCTTTCCCCTTATCCTGTAACCATTATTTTAGACCTTTCCTCTTATCCTTTATCCTGAACCTTTCCATTCCCTTTAATATTAAACCTTTCCCCTTATCCTTTATCCTGAACGTTTCTGTAACCATTATTTTAGACCTTTCCTCTTATCCTTTATCCTGAACATTCCCTTTAATATTAAACCTTTCCCCTTATCCTTTATCCTGAACGTTTCTGTAACCATTATTTTAGACCTTTCCTCTTATCCTTTATCCTGAACCTTCCATACCCTTTACTATAGACCTTTCTCCTTATCCTTTACTCTGAACATTTCCTTTTATCTACTCTTACCTTTTTTTTAACTTTTTTTCTTGCTAATTCTTTTATTTCTTATGCTTTGGGAGTAAAGTTTTGCTATAAAACTCTCATTATCCTTCACTCTAAACCAAACCTCATCATCTTTTACTCTAAACAAACAGTTCCACATCTTTTACGCTTGACCTATCCTTTTTTTAAACCCTAAACCCATTCGCGTCCTTCAGGGTCTATAGTAAAGGTTTGATAAAGGTTTAGTTTTAAGAAAATGGAAAGGACTAGAGTAAAGAATAAAGGGAAAGGTCCGAAGTAAAGTGTTTGGAAAGGACAAGAGTAAAGGATAAAGGGAAAGTTATAAGGTAAAAAATAAGGGGGTTGGTCTACAGTAAAGGGTATGGAAAGGACTGGAGTAAAGGATAAGGAAAAAGGTCTATAGAATAGATCTTTGACTTTAAGCAGGTCTTCTCTGGAAGGAAATACAACTGTAAATCTCCAGCACACATATCCATTAAGGTTTGTGAATCAGTATTAGAGGTCAAAAGTAAAAAAACAAAATATTATGATTATATCCTCAGCTATAAAACAGAGTATCTTAAAATACATTTTATAAAAACAGCAAGCGGAGATCAAAATGCGGGGCGTTGAGACAAAATGGCGGAGGCTCGGAGATGTAGCAAGAGACAGGGAGACGGTATCGCATGGCCTAGAGGTCATTCTGCAAATCTGGAGGCTCGGAGGTCATTTTTGCGGGGCTCAAGGCGCCTCTTCACCCTCTCCCTCAATTAACACCACCATATGGATGACTAAAAATACTACAGAATAAAAAATGTTCTGAAATAAATGTTTATCTTATTTATTTCAAGAAAGGACATCAGATAATCACAGGATATACTTGGGTTAATATTTACAACTGGTTCAAATATACAAAGTCCGCAAATATTTGATCTAACTCTACGAATCAATAAATATCTAATATTTGCGATCTTTGCTAAATAGAGTTAAGAATATATTTTCTAGGTTACTATACATATATTATAAAAGTTGTCATTTTGAGTATTATTTACAAAATGTTCATAAAAAAGTTAAGTTTGAATAGCTTCTTAATATAAAAATTAAAACTCCAATTCTTAATTTTACAATATCTCAGACCTTGCTGAATTTCAAGCCTAAAAAATAAAATTATATTTCTTAATTTGAAATATTTATATTTCGATTTTAAAATAAAAAATTATACCTTCGTCATTAGAATAACAATTCTGGCAATGAAGTCGGTTATTCCGTACTCTTACATCTGTACCCTGTTCACCATTTCCCAGCTGTACACTGTACATAGATAAATATTAGAAACCGTACTCTTACATCTGTACCCTGTTCACCATTTCCCAGCTGTACACTGTACATATATAAATATTAGAAACCGTACTCTTACATCTGTACCATGTTCACCATTTCCCAGCTGTACACTGTACATAGATATATATCAAAAACCGTACTCCTACATCTGTACCCTGTTCACCATTTCGCAACTGTACACTGTACATAGATATATATTAGAAACCGTACTCTTACATCTGTACCCTGTTCACCATTTCCCAGCTGTACACTGTACATAGATATATATTAAAACCGTATTCCTACATCTGTACCCTGTTCACCATTTCCCAGCTGTACACTTACATAGATAAATATTAGAAACCGTACTCTTACATCTTTACCCTGTTCACCATTTCCCAGCTGTACACTGTACATAGATATATATTAGAAACCGTACTCGTTCATCTGTACCCTGCTCACCATTTCCCAGCTGTACACTGTACATAGATAAATATTAGAAACCGTACTCTTAAATCTGTTTCCTAAACTTTCAATTATCATCGCAGCACCACGCCCTAGAGTATCATTATTATTGTTGCTATAATTTTTTTAAATAAAAGAGGGATTTATAATATTTCTTTATCAATAAATTGGGATTAATTCTGGTGAAATATTATTTAATATCTAGCATCTAATTTTTTAAGCATGCAAAAAAATATGATTCATCAATTGCCAATTGCCAATTACAGAATTGTTTGCTTGCGACATTTCTTAAATAAAAGAAAGAACAAGAACGACATTCCAACTCTAAGGATGAGACTGTAAAGACGACCTGAAACTCGTGTAATAGGACAATTGTAAGGTTAAATTAAGTTTTTTTGCCTTGAATATGGTCTTTTAATAAATATATAAATTCCGTACAATCGTCCCTGAAGTATCATCCTTTGTGGGTAACCCTGTACAAACCTAGTTCTTCTTTACAGGCGGAACATTTCTTCTTCCCACTCACACTCAGCACTCGTTCTTGTCCATCCCCTCCTCTCGGAGGCACCTGGGGACCACCTCCGACACCTTGCGGGGGCGGAGGCGCAACTCCTCCGACATGAGGAGGAGAAATAGGAGCTCCGTAAACACTACAATTAAAGGATACTGAAAATGTCGTCTTACACGAGAAGAAAAATCAAAATAATAGAAAGTAGCAAAATTATCAATCGGGGTGGGTGGCGGGGGGATACAAACAATGAATGCTAAGCCCCACCCTATAGATTTTGTGGCATGTGGGTGGTCCTAATTTTCACATTTTGAATTCGAAGTGACTTTCCTAAATAAAAATGAAAAACAAAAACGCGGATATCTAAAGCGGACTAAAGGTTTTAAGGATACATGCCAGTATATCAATAGAGGTTCCTTAAAGCCTAATTTACCTTTGGTTTCTGGTGTAAGGTATATGGGTTGAATCAACATTCGCGTAGATATTCTCCGTTACAGGGAGCAATCCATTCATTCCTGATCCATTCATCCCGGATCCATAGTTCATAACAGGACTCATCCCTGCCTTGACTGGACTCATCCGAGCATTATTATTCATCCCACTCATAACTGGACTCATTCCAGAATTGTGATTCATTCCAACACTTTTATTCATCCCTTGAACAGCTGGTTTGGATGCTGGATGATTTTGTTTCTGTTGTGCTTCTGTAATTCTTCTTTGCTCTGCCTCCTTTAACAAAAAAATAAACACTTTTTTATTAAGATAAGAATAGTAAATAAGTAAGTAAGTATATAAGTAGTTATTTATTAAAGAAATATAACAAAAATATACAAAATCAAGTGTTTCAGGATAAAATATTTGAAGACCTCCAAAACAAAAATAGAGGTTTGTGGGAATATTTCTCCCCAATTAAAAAAAAAATAAAAGGATAAGAAAGGACAAGGAAATGAGAGGAAAAGGAAAGCTACATATTTATTATTTACATTATATTTATTTTTGAAATAGAAATCTTATATTTATTTCTAATTCTGAAAAAATAGAATACGCTTAATGGGTTGTGAAAAAGATATAGGTTCTACACAAAACGGGCATTTTTGAGCATCTTTTTAATTCCTGCCGATTTTTGGCATCCCTTATGTTTGATTTTATCATTTACTCTTTTTAATATTTTTAGTCTTTTCTTTGTAAAATCGTTTTTACTTCCTTGGATTCTTTTGCACACATTGCATGTGTTAGAATTAAAACAGTGGTTCTGCTGATAAAAATCTTCTATTAATTTTAAAAATTTTAATTCAAAAACAAATCAATTTATTTTTAAATTTCCTTTCCTTTTAGAGTCTAATAACAATACTTTTTAAAATTTTTAGCCATCAAAAATTTTTTATCCCACATAAAGATCAATTGGCTAACAAATGTAAAAACCTGAATTAAAAGACTTACTATATTGTTAGTATTAATAATTAAACGTAAGTTTACCTGAATCAGCCAGTGTTGATTATAATCCTTAGACCCAGAAACTCCATCCCCCTTCCTTCTAGTCTAAATTAGTAAACTGGTAACTTATCCGGGATCATACTTTAAATCAAATATATATATTTGTCTCAAACGTACATCTAGAAAATAACATAATTAAACATATATGAAACTTATTCCTGAAGTGGGTGGTGCAAATAGGCTCCCTCCCGGTCCTTCAGGTTTACATCTCAGTATTTAGAGGGAGTGGTTGATGGGTCGAGTGACTTATCGGATATAGACGATAAGGAATTTCAAAATTAATTTATTAATCTATTGGTAAAAAAGCTGTAAACTGTAAATGTTTAGAACTGAAAGATTAAATATCAAATGTGAAGCGTAATGAAAGTCGTCTTTGTTTAATCGTCTTACTAGAAAAGCATTTTAAGATTTTTGAATTTGAAACGGTTATAACTGATTTATATAAAACATTCAGAGCTGGGAACTCTTGTTTTGTGGATCCGAGATCTGTACTTGATTTCAATCTTTTGTTAATTTGCAGATTATTTTGATCTGAATTCGATATATCCCAAAGTAAAAACTAAAATGAAGAGATTAAGCATAAGCATTGATCCTCAAATAAAAAATGCCTGCAGTGGATATCGAGTTGAAGCGATCGGCATTCAGTATACCTTTGGTTGATCAATGATGACTAACTTAACCTTTTATATCTACACATACGTACACCCAAGTCTTTCGGCATTTTGAACAGTATTTTAGAGATAAAAACACGGAACTCTCTACCCTCGATGACCGGTTAAAGGTTTAAAGGGTACCGTTGCCTGACCCATCACTTGAAATTATGCTTCCAGTCCCTTCAACTTTAATCAGATGTGGAAGCATTCCGCAAAAAAATAGTAATTTGATAAAAACCAAAAGAATTCAATGTTTGAAAAATACATTTAAAAAAATAATTCACTGGATTGCTATTTTTGGCGTTAATTTACCTTTTAACCTCATCCAAAACTTCAAGTTTATTATAACACTGTTAGTTTTATGTGCTTTAGAATTTGCAAAAATCAAGTTAAATTATAGCAAAGTAAATCTTGCAGACAAAGCGAGATCAAAAACTGATTAAACTTCAATGGTATAAATCTAAAAAGTTTACATGTATTTTTAAAAAGATTTAGTAACAGTTGTTCGTGTAAATACATAAAATATGTAAATTCTATCCAATAAATTTAAATTATAATGAGTTTACCATGTGATAACACAATGGAAAATTTGCACACAATGCCGTTATTGCTTAACTTCCCTCCTTAGTCCTCACTCCCGTCCCCAATTCATCATTTTAATATTGTTTCCTCGATATACCTGTAAATCAGATTCTTGGGGGGAACCAAGTCCTTGGCTTCGAGAAGGGAACCCAATCTGAGATTTTCCCGCCAAAATCCGGTCATCCTGAGTTGTGGAAGACGACCGATTCTGATGAACACTGTTCCCACCATTTTTCTCCAAGATGGCTGGCGTTTTAGATGAAGGATATGAGTTTGTCTGGCTATGTTGCGTGTACTGAGTGATGGATTGGGAGTAGGATTCAGTTTGTTGTTTTACTAATTGAGATGGTTTTGTTGACACAGACAATACCTCATCTTGAACGGATTTAACAGGGGAACCTCCTTTAAATTCTAAAATGAAAAAAATATTAAGTTCATCTATATAATAAAGCTTTTCGCTCATATTTATATTTAGGTATGTTCTCTATAGCTGGCCAAACGGAATGACCAGATTGACTGATTAGATTAGATTAGAATTGAACACCAAGTACGGGTAAATTGTGGAAGTAACTATGAGTAAAAATATAAACCTAGGCAACGCTGAGTTCTCCAGCAAGTTTTAAATACTTTTCGAAATGTGAAAAAATTACCATTTCTTTTCTTTTTTGCTGTCTCCTCTCTTTCCAGACTTTCTATAATCTCTCTCTCCTGCTGAGCTAAATCATCCTCTTGAACCTCATCCTGAGAAAATATATTTTATCCAATCTCCGCTTTCTCCAATTTCAACCCTTTTCCGTGTGTATGTGTACACACTTTCAAACCAGCGGTGATTTCAAATTAAAAATTTTGCATGGCTGGATACGCTATACGCATTCTATTCTAATCCCCCCCCTATACGCATTCTAACCCCCCCCCCATTTTCCCCCACCAGCAGAGCTGCGGCGGCTATAATGAATTTGACCAGGCTAAGAGTTGAATAAAGGGCCCTAGGCAAATAAGAAAACAAGGGGCATCATATACAACAGGGGGATCGTACACAACAAGGACATCATACACAACAAGGACATCATACACAACAAGAGGCATCATATACAACAAGAGGCATCATATACAACAAGGGGCATCATACACAACAAGGGGCATCATACACAACAAGGGGCATTATACACAACAAGGGGCATCATACACAACAAGGGGCATCATACACAACAAGGGGCATTATACACAACAAGGGGCATCATACAAAACAAGGGGCATCATACACACAGGCGCAACTCGGGTATTGACTGGGGGGGGAGGACATTTAGTTTTTCTTACATCCAAAGAAAACATTTTTATCATTTGTTTCTGTTTCTGTTTTCATGTAATTTTTCTAGTGGTGAAATTGCGGATTTACTCGGGGTATTCGCACAATATAAGAAATCGCCCTTAGTAATTGTTTGTAGTTTTGCAGAGAAAAATGGTTAAACAAAAAAAATCCAGGGTAAATTTAATTTTCTAGTTTACTATGATAGATAGATAGAATCCAAATTACCCAGAAGGTAATAAGGTTCAGTCAGAAATTGTGCGAATTCTCCCGCTTGCAGTACGATGCTTTTTTTCTGGTTAAATTACCAAACTTGGTGGTTCAATGAAGTATAAACAGTGAATATATTAAATATTTGGGGCATAAAAAAATTCCAGCGAATTTTCTGGTAGGAACCCGGTATATAATTTTATTTTGCTTGAAATTTTTTTAAAAATTCTCTTATCCATCTTTCACACTGCAAGGGACCCTTCGGAAATTTTCTATTTCTCTGTTAGTGTTAGGGTCAGGGATCCCTGGAAAATTCTCTAAGGCCCCCGAATAAACTGTAATTTCAAGGCTAACAAATCGCCGAAGTGGGAATCTCTGATTTATGAAAGCCTGGAGTAATAATTATAAAAATTCGAGCTACTTCTCATCATTACACTAAAACGATGCAAAAATATAAGATAATGAAAAAATATGAAGTTCTATTCTTTACTGTATTGGGACAAAATAAATGAATTATGGGTAGAATCATCTTTAAGGGAAAACATCTAGCCAGTCGAATTTTTAATTTCATCCCGTAAACAATCTGAAATCATGTTTTGGTTTAGTTTAATTAGTACAAATTACCTCAATCATTGGTGGCGGAACAGGGGGTAGAGGCGGAGGTTTCTCTGACGGCGGAGCCAGGCGTTCAGTACTGGGAATAAAATCTTCCGCCCTAGAAAACAATCTTATTGAAAATAAATAAACGAAAGCTTCACTCAAAAGTAAATAATTATGTTTTCCTTCCATAAGTCTCCCAAAAAATCCAATCACCCGGAATATGTTTTTCAAGTTAATTCTGTATTCTTTGTTTTTGCTCAAACGCCTATACTAGTACTATACTAAACTATTACTTTGTTTTACAAAAATGGAAATCATTTATTTTACAAAAAACATCCATACAAAAATTGTTCTTCGCAAAATGGGGCAGGCGACAAATTTTAAAGGACACTGAATTTTTGAGATACAAAAACCGCTATGTTCTTCATCGTTTCTCAGACAGAGGTTTAAGAATCGGAAAGTTAACAAAAAACCCAGTTTCCTAAATTATAATAATATATATATAGATATAGTTGTCACCTGAATACAGGTTTAGTTTTCTCCTCTAGCTGGGAGAAGCTCTCTTCAAGTGCATCATCCAGAGCAATGTTATCCTCACCATCCCCCTCACTACTCAGAGAGTTACTCTAAACAATAAAACCATTATCTATCCCCCTTACTACTCAGGGAGTTACTCTAAACAATAAACTATTATCCATCCCCTCACTACTCAGGGAGTTACTCTTAAGAATAAACCATTATCCTATCCATCCCCCTCACTACTCAGGGAGTTACTCTAAACAATAAACTATTATCCATCCCCTCACTACTCAGGGAGTTACTCTAAACAATAAACCATTATCCTATCCATCCCCCTCACTACTCAGGGAGTTACTCTAAACAAAGAAACTATTATCCATCCCCCTCATTACTCAGGGAGTTACTCTAAACAATAAAACTATTATCCATCCCCCTCACTGCTCAGGGAGTTACTCTAAACAATAAAACTATTATCCTATCTATCCCCCTGACTACTCAGGGAGTTACTCTAAACAATAAACTATTATCTATCCCCTCACTACTTAGGGAGTTACTCTAAACAATAAACCATTATCTATCCCCTCACTACTCATGGAGTTACTCTAAACAATAAACCATTATCTATCCCCTCACTACTCAGGGAGTTACTCAAACAATAAAACTATTATCCATCCCCCTCACTACTCAGGGAGTTACTCTACACAATAAACTATTATCCATCCCCCTCACTACTCAGGGAGTTACTCTAAACAATAAAACCATTATCCATCCCCCTCACTACTCAGGGAGTTACTTTAAACAATGAAACCATTATCTATCCCCTTACTACTCAGGGAGTTACTCTAAACAATAAACTATTATCCATCCCCCTCACTCCTCAGAGGTTACTCTAAATAATAAAACCATTATCCATCCCCTCACTACTCAGGGAATTACTGTAAACAATAAAACTATTATCCCTCCCCCTCACTAATCAGGGAATTACTCTAAACAATAAAACCATTATCCATTCCCCTTACTACTCGGGGAGTTACTCTAAACAATAAAACCATTATCCATCCCCCTCACTACTCAGGGAGTTACTCTAAACAATAAAACCATTATCCATTCCCCTTACTACTCAGGGAGTTACTCTAAACAATAAACCATTATCTATCCCCTCACTACTCAGGGAGTTACTCTAAACAATAAAACTATTATCCATCCCCCTCACTACTCAGGGAGTTACTCTAAACAATAAAACTATTATCCATCCCCTCACTACTCAGGGAGTTACTCTGAACAATAAACTATTATCCATCCCCCTCACTACTCAGGGAGTTACTCTAAACAATAAAACCATTATCCATCCCCCTCACTACTCAGAGGTTACTCTAAGTAATAAAACAATTATCCATCCCCTCACTACTCAGGGAATTACTCTAAACAATAAACCTATTATCCCTCCCCCTCACTAATCAGGGAATTACTATAAACAATAAAACCATTATCCATTCCTCTTACTACTCAGGGAGTTACTCTAAACAATAAAACCATTATCCATCCCCCTCACTACTCAGGGAATTACTCTAAACAATAAAACCATTATCCATCCCCCTCACTACTCAGAGGTTACTCTAAATAATAAAACCATTATCCTATCCATCCCCCTCACTACTCAGGGGGTTACTCCCTATAACGTTGCAACCTGATGGCGTAAACCTTTCATATTTGAAACTAAGATTATATGATTAGCAGAATTAAGTCTAAAATATCTAAGGTCAACGCCATAGGGTTGCAAAGTGATTAAACAATAAACCATTATCCATCCCCCTCACTACTCAGGGAGTTACTTTAAACAATAAAACCATTATCCATCCCCCTCACTACTCAGGGAGTTACTCTAAACAATAAAACTACTATCCATCCCCCTCACTACTCAGAGGTTACTCTAAATAATAAAACCATTATCCTATCCATCCCCCTCACTACTCAGGGGGTTACTCCTTATAACGTTGCAACAAGATGGCGTAAACCTTTCATATTTGAAACTAAGATTATATGATTAGCAGAATTAAGTCTAAAATATCTAAGGTCAACGCCATTGGGTTGCAAAGTGATTAAGGGATACGAAAGATTTTGGCAAATACTCAATTCCTTTGCAAATATGACAATTGTGAATTTTGTTTGGCCTTATAACGCACTTTATTATTATTATAGGTCAACCCGTCGTTTATTAAAGTTTAGGTCATTTGAATGATTTAGTTAGACAAGTCAGGAAAAAAGGAAATAAAATTGTTACGTTGCACTATAGGTAATTAGTTTTATTTTCAAACCTCATCAACGCAAATTCGCGTATAATTTTATTTGTCCTTGAAATTCATTACGTGATAAAACAATTTAATCCGTGTTAGATTCAAAGAATAAAGAAAAATAGCAATGAATTGGTAAAATAAATAAGTTAAGGGCGCATGTATGCTATTAAATGTCTACAACTGAGGAGAGCACGAATGTGTTTTTTTTAATTTTTGAAATTGTGCTTTTTCTGTTTCAATTTATCTTATCTGCATTGTTGTTGAAAATCAAAATCAATCAGATTGCAAATCCCTATATAATGTTTACAGGCCTATTTACTAGCCTGACTCAAGGCTTCGAGATATGCATGAATTTAATGATTTGTCTAATCTATCCTTTATGCTAAATTTCCCCCCTTGCGGCCTTTGTTTGATGAAATAGAGGAACATCAAGGTTTTTCCTTGAAAACTGCAAAAAGTGAAGCTTCAGCCTTTCTTTTAAAGGGATTGTGCAGGAGACAAAGTTAAAAACATTGCAAAAAACTTTGAGTCTCTTTAAGCCAAGGTTGCATAACAAGGTTGGTTACTCTCGATGCGCTCCAATGTACGGAAAATTTCGTCACTTAAGATAGATAGATAAAACCCTAATATGACACAACACTCTCGCCTCTATAATCAGTGACGTCATATTGAGTTTTTATCTTAAGAGACAACATTTTCCGTACTTTGGGCGCATCGAGAATAACCCCACTTGCTATACAAACTTGCTTTAAGCTGGCAAAACATGTTTTATGCAGTGAATTCACTGTTAACACAAAGAAATGAGAAGAATCTATCATTTAGCTTAAAATAACAAGACAAATACATTCCAAGGTTGAAGTTTATTCTTCTTTAACCTAGCTTAAGTCGGGCTTTTCAAGTTAAGTACAACAAAATAACTCTTTTCTTCTCAAGTTTTAAACTTTGAACTGGAGAGTAAAATCCTGGACCACGATGTACACTGTACACTGTGCAGTGTGCACTGTACACTGAACAGTGTTAGTGTACGGTGTAAATCGTTGATGAGATAACAGAGGCGTAATTTTAATAATAATAATGTATACCTAAAAGGCCCAACGCAAGCGAATTTAAAAAAAAATTAAACGAAATTAAAAGAATGATATTTTAAGTCTTTCCAAGAAAACTGTTTTACCATTTTCATTGTTTGCGCAATACAATTTTCACCGCTCATTTTCATTTTCATGATCGGTAATCGGTAATTTTCATTTTTTTTAAAAATAATTTGATATGTTTTTACTTACTTGTTGAAAAAATTTATTATTTTGAAAAGTGTTCATGAGGGCAGACGAGGAGGATGATCTGAGGAAAACAAAATTATTTTTTAATTGACGTACATTTTCAAAAAAGTAACGTTTGAACTTTTGTTCCGTTCTGGGACCAGAGGCCGAAATTAATGAATTCGAGACGCGGTTTAAACATGGTTGGTTCTGCTGGAAATTTCGAGGTTTAAGTCGGCGCTCAATTTGAACCTTGTTGGTGGTTTAGCGACGCGGTTCAAATTCGTTAAATTCGGCCTTAGATTTAATAAATAGCGAAAAATAGGTTGAAAACTTGAACAGTGTAGAAGTAACCGGTCTAAGTTAAAGAGAATTAGTTGAACTGTGTCTAAATTAAATCTGGTTCCTGAATAAGCATAATACAAATAAGATTCAAAATAAAAATTTTAGAAGTTAAAAAATATTTAATTTCAGTAAATGTAATTCTTATGATTTGCGAGATCAATATTTGTTAAATTACAGATTAAAATTTCTCCCTTTTAGTCCACTTGTACAATTTCAACTATTTCAATGTACATTAAACTCTTATCTTGATGATATAGTTCACTGATTTAGAATTGCAAAACGAATAAACCCATCAATTTGAATTTTAGATCAGATTTAGATAAACTTAATCTAAATGAATTCTAAAGGTTTACTTTTCTCTGATTAACCTAACATTTAGCTATTTTGCAATAGCATTTGTGATCTTACTCCCAATGACTCTTTCCCCACGGGCCTTTTTCTACATTTTTTAGACTGAAAAGAAAAATCTAATGGTTGCCAGTAAGTTTACCAACTTATATTACTTGAACGATCAAAACTTTCGGTGATTTTAGTTATTTGCCTAATGACACTAAAAACACTCATAGAAGTTATTATTAGGTAGATAGATTTACTGGCAGATGTTCATATGGAGTGAAACATAACAGAAAATCTCAAAATTTAAGAAAATTAAGTTTATTTCCATGACGTTAAAAAAAAGATTTTTGTCCAATATCCAAAATAATATTGTTCCTGTAGGACTTGTATCCCGGCAGCTTGGATACAAGACTAGGTTCAGAGTCTCGTCGAAGCATTGAAGTTTCTCCAGCACTTGTTTCTATATTCTTGAATGCTTTGAGTTTATCCCTGAAGGAGTTATCTGGTTCGATAACCCGCGTTACAGTCTCCGGTTTCGCAGATTTGTTCTCCTCAAAACTTGCGAGTTTGAGTCGCATTTTGTCCGAGAGATCGGTGGAGGATTTTCGTGTGGGCTGGACGTAGGTTTCTATCTTTTTCTCCCACTCTTCATCCTGCAAATAAACAATCATTGGTTAGATAAGTCTAATATTCGACTTAATAATCATCTCTATCTAAATATTGTTTAGATACATGTAACGTTTTGATATCAATATATTTTTATAATTAATCATTTAATTCTATCTAAATATTGCTTCGATACATCTAATATTCTTATACGGTGGAAGGTGATAATATCAATATATTGAAAACGACCTTTTTATTTAAGTTTTTATTGTTAACAAGCTTTTTTCGAATAACAAGTTTACAAGTAATTAAAGAGAAGCTTTTTAATTGACAGGTTCTCTTAGTTTCCATTTGTTTGTGTATTCATGCTGTTAAAAAAACTGGTATAAATCAATATTGAAATCAAAAGTCGTCCTTATTATATTCATATAATCGCCTACCACCGTAGCAATAAAATAATAAATTTAAAAAATTCTATTTAATAATTATTAGTTACATTCAATTTTCTGATATCAATCTAATTAAACATTCTTTATTTATATCTAAAAAATAAAATTTTGGTAGGATAAATTTATATTCTTAGCCTATCCATCCCCCTCACTACTCAGGGGGTTACTCCTTATAACGTTGCAACAAGATGGCGTAAACCTTTCATATTTGAAACTAAGATTATCATACACAACAAGGACATCATACACAACAATGGCATCTTACACAACAAGGGGCATCATATACAACAGGGGGATCATACACAACAAGGGGCATCTTACACATCAAGGGCATCTTACACAACAAGGGGAATAATACATATCAAGGGCATCTTATACAGCAAGGGGAATCATACACAACAAGGACATCATACACAACAAGGGCATCATATACAACAAGAGGCATCATACCTTAAGAGGCATCATACACAACAAGGGGCATCATACACAACAAGGGGCATTATACACAACAAGGGGCATCATACAAAACAAGGGGCATCATACACACAGGCGCAACTCGGGTATTGACTGGGGGGGGAGGACATTTAGTTTTTCTTACATCCAAAGAAAACATTTTTATCATTTGTTTCTGTTTCTGTTTTCATGTAATTTTTCTAGTGGTGAAATTGCGGATTTACTCGGGGTATTCGCACAATATAAGAAATCGCCCTTAGTAATTGTTTGTAGTTTTGCAGAGAAAAATGGTTAAACAAAAAAAATCCAGGGTAAATTTAATTTTCTAGTTTACTATGATAGATAGATAGAATCCAAATTACCCAGAAGGTAATAAGGTTCAGTCAGAAATTGTGCGAATTCTCCCGCTTGCAGTACGATGCTTTTTTTCTGGTTAAATTACCAAACTTGGTGGTTCAATGAAGTATAAACAGTGAATATATTAAATATTTGGGGCATAAAAAAAATATTTTTGAAACTTCCCCTAAACATGTAAAACCAATGAAAATTTATTTTATTGGTAAAAAGAAATCTGTACAAATTTTGCAATATCTCCATCAAGTTTAAAGATAAAAGACTCGAGGCGTTTTCGATATCAGTGGTTTACTTTTAACTGGAACACGGCAATAATTATATTCATGAATAAATGCCGCGTGAACTGAAAGAACTGAAACGTCGTCACTTAAATCCCACATTTATTGAGACTACCTGATCAAAATGGATAAGTAATGGTTCATCTTTAGCAATAGCTTAGACGTAAAAGATAAAATACAGCCCCCCCTCCCCCACCAGCATCTCCTAATAATATCCCCCCCTGTGGCACCGCATACCAAAGCAATCTCAAATCTGATCATAATTAGTAAAATGCCTTATAAAGCGCCATTCGCCAAATATAACTTTTTGTAATATCATTATTAGCACTCATCAACCTGAAGTTTACAAATATTAAAAAAAAACATCATTTATTGGTGCTATCAAGGAAGGACATGGTTGTAATGTATAACTACACAGTGAGAACCAGGAAACTCCGAAATATAAGGAAGACTTTTAGAATAAAGTTTTTGAAGCCTAAAAAGTCCAAAGAGCATGAGAAACAGAAATTGTGCAGTGTAAACAGGCCCATTTCACTAAATTAGTGATTTAATAAGTGTCTTCCTATTCCATTGTTTTCTGGTTTTCCCTGAATTACATTTCCTTTTTTTTGTATTAGTCTTTAATAATTCAAACTAGAAATTATATTTAACATTTATTGTTTAAAATTAATTTAATCTTCTATGTTATTTTTACCGGAAATTTTTGATGACATAAATTGCTGGTATTTGGTTGCGAGTGATAAAATTGCACAACATGCTTAATTACGCTTTGTTAGGAAGTACTGGGAAAGACGTTAATGAGGCTTTAATGAGGATATAACATGATAAAATCTTAAACCTGCATGAAACAATGTAAGGAAGAGAAGGAAGTGCACAATAGTTGACATTTGTTAAATGCACAGAAACATTTTTAGTTTTTTCTTCAGATTTTGAATATTAAAGTTTCAGTTAATTAAACTTATAAAACTTATTTCAAATTAATTAAAAGCTATTTTACATTAAGAACCAGAATAATGCAGAATTAATGTTGTCTTTGTTCTTAGTTTCACTAAAAAATGTCGCTCATTATAGTTTACAATTGTTGCATCTGATATGTCTCTAAATATGTTCAGAACTTTTGTGTTTCGAATCTCGGAATCAGAATTTGATCATTATTTTATTCCTCTTAGACATATCCCGCGGTGGGCATACTCTGCAAGGATAACTTGAAAGAAGAGATCAAGCATTTATCCTTAAACTTCCCACATTGGATATCAAGTTCAAGTGTTCAAGATTGCCAGAGTGGGATTCACGTTGTGTTCAATGCCCCGGAAAATTCCAAAACAGAGAGAGGGGGATTGAATTTTGTAGATCCATAAAAATAATATCTGTGGGATGCCTGCGTAGTGACTGGCAGCTTGTGGGGTCTTAAATGTAAGACATGTGGCCGCAGCGCTCGGCCCCCTAGCCTGTCCTAGCCGTAGCGGCCCAGAAAGTGTCTTAACCTAACCTAACCCTAAATAAATACTAATCTAATTATTTTTCTGGATCTACAAAATTCAATCCCCCCCTCTCTGTTTTGGAATTTTCTGGGGCATTGAACACAACGTGAATCCCACTCCGCCTTCAAGATTAACGATACTCCACACCCAAGTTCCAATCTCAAATCTCAGGACATTTGGTATTTTGAAATAATCTAGAATTCCACTGTTTTCTGGTTCTCATTGTAATTGTATACCACAAAGAATCTTTAAAGGGTTGGAAGGGGGTGATTTTGTGAGTACACACATATTAAAACTGCATTAAAGAGTCTAATGTACTATTTATTATCTAAATATAAGAAGAGTTCATCAATCAGAAACCATATACAAGTCATACAAGTGAATAAAATGACTTAATTTGAAAAAGCACTAAAAGTACGGTCTTGAAGGGTTTAAATTAATAAACAAATTAAGCTTCAAAGGGTTAAATATTGAGTTTTATTATCTTGTTGTTTATCATATTAACCTTAGAAGAGGTGGAATCATCAAGTATACTGTTGTTGGCTGAAGCTGATCTTCCTGCTCCACTACTGCCGGTCAACGGGATATTTTTCTCTACCTGTCCTTCAGTACTAGGGATATTCACATTTTTATAATAATTTTAAAGTGGCTTCACTTGATAGTTGAGCTGAGAATGTAGTTTAGTAGAGAAGTTTCTTAGGATTCATTGATGACCAATGAGACGATTTTACGGTGCATGTTTGTTAAGAAAGAGCCCGAATTTATTTTTAAAATCCTCATAAATTGTTAATTTCGGAAGGATGATTTTGAGGATTGGGTTTTTTAAATTAATTTAATATAATATTTAATTGTTTGATTACAATAAGCCAAGGGAAGGAGAAAAGCAATAACGATAAATACGTCGATAGCTTTACGTAAACTATAATACTGGAGAATGAGAGAGGGGGGAGCATGGTGGGGTTGTTGATGAAAGATTAGAAAGGAAGGTATTAAAGGTTCTACTGAAACTCAGAAAGGAAGGTATTATGGTTCTACTGAAACTCAGAAAGGAAGATATTAATGGTTCCACTGAAACTAAGAAAGGAAGGTATTAATGGTTCTACTGAAACTCAGAAAGAAAGATATTAATGGTTCTACTGAAACTCAGAAAGGAAGGTATTATGGTTCTACTGAAACTTAGAAAGGAAGATATTAATGGTTCTACTGAAACTAAGAAAGGAAGGTATTAATGGTTCTACTGAAACTCAGAAAGGAAGGTAAAGGAAAATATATATTGATGGTTCTACTTAAACTGCTTGAGTTTCCTGTTTTCACTAGATCCAAGGATTCAAGGATGTCACCGGAAACTTTACTCAAAATGTGTGCCAAGTATCTCAAGTTCTAAATACTGCCCCCCTCCCTCCTAACTCCATCATTAAATATTTCACCTTAATTTTATTCTTGATTTTTAGAAATTAAATCTTGCAATTTATGAAAATGAGTATATACCCCTGAGCTGTCTCACTTGTATCGTGTTAGAACCAATTAAACCCATCCTGAACCCTTCAACTCTTTTATTATCAAACCTTTAAGCACATCATCATTCTACATACTACACACAACAGTAATCTCGTTTTACTTCAAATACAGCGCCAGTTCAGTTCTAGATTCATTAAAACAAATAATAGCCGCGGTAATTGATCGTAAATAATCTAGAAAATCACATAATAAAAATTCTTTCACATATTGGGAGATGTAAGGTACTTTAATAAAGGACTTTCCCCAAGTGGCAACTTCCCAATGGTATTTCTCAAATGGCAACTTCCCAAATGTGCAATTTCCCAAGCTGCAACTTCCCAAGTCTGTACTAGCTGCAGTAATCGACCTCCATTGCAGTCTATGGCGCCTGCAAGAGGCCTAACCAGTAACCAAACCTTTGGGAAGTTGCCGCTTGGGAAAATGTGAAAGCAATAATGAATGAATGGCAATAGTTGTGAAAGCAATACTAAATGGCAATAGTTAGGAAAGCAATAATGAATGAATTGCAATAGTTGTGACAGCAATAATGAATGAATAGAATTTGTTGGGAAAGCAATAATGAATGAATGGCAATAGTTGCAAAAGAAATAATGAATGGCTATAGTTGTGAAAGCAGTCATGAACGCTGGGCAATATTTCTGAAAGCCATAATGAATGAATGAATGCCAAGTTTTGTAAAAGCAATATTTAATGAATGGCAAGATGTGACAGCAAAACTGAAAGATGAATGGTTAAATTTGTAAGAGCAATTTTGAATGAATGAATGGCAAGATTAGAAAAATCAATAATGAATGATTTAATGGCAAGAGATGACAGCAAAATGAAAGATGAATGATAACATTTTTAAAAGCAATTTTTAATGAATGAATGCTAAGAATAATGAATGAAGCAATAATGAATGGGTGAAAGGATGAAAGAATGAAAGGATGGCAAGATTAGTTGAAGTGATAATGAATGAATGAATGAATGAATGAATGAATGAATGAATATGCCTGGAGTAGATGAAAAGATAAGGTGTAAACAAGATTACGACAAATAAAAAACCAATAAACTGCACATCAAACAAATTCTCACTAGGGATGAATCTAGCCTAAAATGAACGCTACAATAATGAATGAATATTAAAGGGACTCTATTCGTAATTTAAAGAATCAAGGATGAAGTACCCTGTAACTCTTCACTGATCAAGGATATAGTACCCTGTAACTTTTTACTGATAAAGGATTAAGTACCCTGTAACTGTTCACTGATCAAGGACAAAATTACCCTGTAACTTTTAACTGATAAGAGATTAAGTACCCTGTAACTCTTCACTGATCAAGGATAAATTACCCAGTAACTGTTCACTGATCAAGGATAAAGTACCCAGTAACTCTTCACTGATCATGAAGTACCCTGTAACTCTTCACTGATCATAAAGTACCCTGTAACTCTTCACTGATCAAGGATAAAGTACCCAGTAACTCTTCACTGATCAAGGATAAAGTACCCTGTAACTCTTCACTGATCAAGGATAAATTACCCTGTAACTCTTCACTGATCAAGGATAAAGTAAATCAAACAAATTCTCACTAGGGATGAATCTAGCCTAAAATGAACGCTACAATAATGAATGAATATTAAAGGGACTCTATTCGTAATTTAAAGAATTGAAGTCCGATTCATACCAGTACCCTGTAACTCTTCGCTGATCAAGGATGAAGTACCCAGTAACTCTTTACTGATCAAGGATAAAGTACCCTATAACTCTTCACGAATCAAGGATGAAGTACCCTGTAACTCTTCACGAATAAAGGATAAAGTACCCTGTAACTCTTCACTGATCAAGGATAAAGTACCCTATAACTCTTCACTGATCAAGGATAAAGTACCCTATAACTCTTCACTGATCAAGGATAAAGTACCTATAACTCTTCATTGATCAAGGATAAAGTACCCTGTAACTCTTCACTGATCAAGGATAAAGTACCCTATAACTCTTCACTGATCAAGGATAAAGTACCCTATAACTCTTCACTGATCAAGGATAAAGTACCCTATAACTCTTCATTGATCAAGGATAAAGTACCCTGTAACTCTTCACTGATCAAGAATAAAGTACCCTATAACTCTTCACTGATCAAGGATAAATGAGATATTCTTTTCTGCTTCAAGTTGGCTGTTTCTAACTATGGTTTTTCTATCAAAGAAACTTGAAGGTTTATGAAACACAAAATTTAATATAAAAAATGAGGATTGTCCTTCGCGTAAAACGTGCGCAGTTTAGAGGGTGTGTTGCCAATCGGACACATGGACGTCATTCGGAATTAGGTTAAAAAAACGAACAAAGACGAAAAATTTGTTTAAAAATGGGAATGCCTGAATTGAGAGTGTGCCAAGGTTCTGTAACCATCGATAGCATTCTGATACGGATCATTCGCCTTCTCTCCCTCATTCGCCCCTTTAGCACCCTCTGGCTCTGCCCTAACCTTGGACTCCACCTTCTCTGTATCCGCCCTGGAGGAGGTTTGACTAGGACCAGGACTGGATGAACAAGTAGGTTTGGATCTGGATGAATAAGAAGGGTTGGAGGTGGAGGATGATGACGGATGGGATGAGGAGGATGAAGCGGGGAGGATTGTCTCTTCTACAGAATACTCCTCCTCTTCTTCTATCAAAACATCCTGGAAAATTTATTTTTTTATTTATTATATTATGTACGCACAATGTTTTTTCTTCCATTTCTGGATGGGTTCTCTGCTATTCTTTTTAAATCCCACAAAAGTATAAATTATAATCAAAAATATTTTTAGTACATTTTTTAAAGATTTCTTAGATTTGCTGACATAGAAGAAGAAATGGTTAAAAATCATGTTTTTTAAAGAACATAAATCGAGTTTTAAACATTTAAAGCATTTCTTTTGATTCAATTTTTTTCATGGTGCAAGATAATATTTATACGTAGAAAAATTAAATGATTTTCCCAACCACTTAAACTAAAATTCCTTTCCTTTTCCTTCTCTAACCTTTTCTTGTCTTTAAAAAAAGATAACTCTGTAACTTCAAGTTCAATATGTTCTTACTAATACTAAAGTCTTAACTGTTATCGTCAAATTTTGCAAATTTCCTTTAACAAATTCCGACAACAGAGGTTGATGAAATACTTGGCCTCGAAATTGCTGACGTGCATAGAAAGTTTTTTACACGTTCAGTTCGCATAAAAAGCGTTGTTTTTGCAAATTAATGGGAGCAAAAAGATGGGGGGGGGGGGAAGGGGTACTAGATTAACTGGGTTTATATGAAGAACAGTTCAGGCTTTGATTTTCAAAGTTAAATTTTCACGATATCAGTGAGAAAATAACCGAGTAATGAGTGAATGACAGTGATTCTCTGTGAGTTAAGACTGAGTGTTTTACTGTGTAAGTCTGTGACAAACAGAATAAGTCTTTGGCAGGCAGAGTAAGTCTGTAAATGACAGAGTGCGTCTGTGACAAGACAGAGTAAGTATGTGGCAGGCAGAGTATAAGTATGTGGCAGACAGAGTAAGTCTGTGACAGATAAGAGTAAGTAAAGTTAGTCTGTGACATACAGAGCAAGTCAGTGGCAAACAGCGTAAGTTTGTGACAGAAAGAGTAAGTTGGTTAAAACCGCAGATGAAATATTTATAACAACTCAGTTATCAGTAGTCAAATTGAGGATGATATTATGTTTACAAATACAATTAGCCCTATACAGTATACATGGGTCTTTAAACCCCAAAATTGTCTACTTTTACCAAGAACATCCAGAGAACGGATGAAACAGTAATAACTACCTAACACACTTGTAATACGAAGTTCGGACTTTTTTTTAACCTACAGCAGGGTTTCATCTAGGAATTTTGTGGCGGGTGAAGTGCTTCCCTTTTGTGACAGATTTTCGTTCTGTGGTAGCTTTTTTCTTCAATTTTTACAATTTTGTTATCAAACCTGGAAGTTGAAATGAATTTGGCTACCTAAAATTGTGCGTTTTTTGTTGCTATGCCTTTTTTTAGTGTATGGGGTGCAAACAGAAAAATATACACCCCTGTGCGAAAATGATGCTAAGTTTCACAAAAATAATTCTGCGAAAACCATAGTTGCAACAATTAATTGCGCAAAAAACTTGTGAATTTCTCTTCTCAGAGAGCTCAGAGTTAGAAGTTTCATTATACAGGGTCTCCCAATAAACATGGGGATTTAGTGACGAATTCGATATCGCCTTTGTTAGGAATTAGCATTGTAATACCTAATTTCAAAAGCCATAATATTATTATGTTTGCTTGAATTTATTTTATGAAAACAGTAAAGGGCTGTAAAGGTGTGTCTATAATGTCTCCGCAAGATGAACATTGAAGACGGACAAGTTTATTCTGTTTGTACACTGTAATTTTCTTGTTTTATTAAGTACAACCATATGCAGTCAAAACATAAACAAACAAATTGTAAACATAGCAGACGAAAATCTTATAGAGTACAGCTTTCTCAGTAGGTATCACTATACTAAATCAAAGAATTATTTTTAAAGACGATATCGAATTCGTCACTGTATTCCTATGTTTATTGGGACACCCTGTATCATAATTAATAATTTCTCTTTTGTATTTTTGTTAGCGAAATTTTCGCATTTTCCACCTCTAAATTTTCGCATTTACTTTTTGGCATTTATTATTTCATCTGTTACCTTTAATTTATGGCATATTTTGAGCTTAATTATAATTTGTGGCAGATTTTAGCATTTAAATACTTTTTGTAGCTTCTGAACTTTAATGGCATTTTTATAGAATTTGTGTTGCATATTTTCTGCTTTCGGTTATTGTTGGTGGCACAATTTCTGAATTTTTGGCAGATTTTACGTGTTTTTTGTGTGTGGCATTTTCTTCACAGTTTAAATATTTGTGCAGCCTATTCTATGCTTTATCCTTTTTGTTTTAGTTATTTGTTGGTAGCATATTTTCTGAGCTTTTAATTACTGTTTGTGGAAGATTTTTTAGCTTTCGATTGCGTATATGGCAGATTATGCGTCTTGGTATAACTTGTAACATACATTATAAGATTTTCAGCTTATTAATAAATTTTGTAGCAGACTTTATTCATTTAGATACTGATTGTGGCAAATTTTCTGAGCTTTGATGGCATGTTTGGCAGATTTTATATGGCAAGACATAATTTGTCGCATATCTTATGCATTTATATACTGCAGTTAGTTGCATATTTTATTCATTTTTTTTAGTGTTAATATATCATTTGTGGCTTTTATTTAGGCAATAAAATGTTTTTTTTTGTGGCATATTTTTATATTTTTGACCCTGTTTTTGGTTAAATAAAATCTGGGTGTACTGGGTGAACATTGTACAATGTGCATTCAAATTGATCCTGGATGACACCCTGACCTACAGGGTTACCCACAAAAGATTGAGACTTTAAGAGACGTTTTGTTTCCTTACATTTGTTATTCTCTGCAACTGCAAACTTGTTTCTTTCCTTGCTATGTGATATAACTAGCTGAAGTGCCCGGCGTTGCCTATGTAATTTTTAAAAATCAAATTTTGAAAAAAAACTCAGCCTTTTGAACATTTATAGCTAACATATATATATTATATACATACATATATATTATATATGCATGAGTGAAGAGCTTTATTATATAGATAAACTATTTAAGACAAAAATCAAGGCAGAAGACTTATTTAACAGTGGGATGAAATACTTCTTGGTCGTCATAATAGCCTCATCTTTTCTGGGTTACCCTTTATATTAAATTATCTATGAAATATAGAAAGAAGTGTACAACTGCAGGGAATCAAAAATGTAAGAAATAACTTTGAATAAATTAAGTTCTTTAGATGTGGGTAACCCTGTCCTGTATTTCTTTATGTAATCTGTAGTCTATACCAGTATGACTATAATGACTATAACTCCAAATGAAGGTAGTTTTCATTTGCATTTTCAATCCACCAGACAGTCTTTCTATATACGAGCCCAATTCCACTGCTCAAAACTTCTAATTACATGCGTAATTTGCGTGAGGAGACTTCTATTTCTCAACAGATTGCGTGAGTTACGCAAGATTGGTTGTTTTTAGAAAAAGCAATTTAGTTAAAAATCTAAACTAGA